ATTTTCTCTTCCTTATAATTTTCTTAATAACATTTTATTTTCTCTAGTTTACGTTAAGAATACAGTATATAATACACATAACACATAAAATATGTGATAATCAACGGTTTATGTTATCAGAAAGGCTTCCAGTCAACAGGAGACTATTAGTAGTTAAATTTGGGGGGAATTAAAAGTTACACACAGATTTTTCAACTGTGGGGGAAGGGATGTTGGCACCCCAACCCCATGTTGTTCAAAAGTATTTCAAACTTGTGTAATCAACAAGAGGTACTTGAAGAGAAAATTAGAGCCATGAAAGCATTTTTTGTTAAGTATTGAACTCAAGAAATCAGGAAAAAAATAATTATCCCAAAGAAAATGAACAAAAGGGAACAAAATGTGACAAAACAGAAAAGATACAATGTAAATAATAAACAAAACTAAGTTCTTTGAAAAAAATTAAACTGGCAAATCTATATATACTAAGATATCAAGAAAAAAGAAAAGGTAAATAACATTAGAAATAAAAAATAAACCAAAATCAAATGCACAGGATGAAAATACAATGAAAAGCTTCACGCCAATAAATTTGTCATATTACATGAAATGGAGTTTCCACCAAAAATACAAATTACTAAAACTGACTCAAGAAAAAACAGACACAGACCATAAGAATAAAAAAATTGAATCAATGATTTAAAAAGCAACAAAAACTACCCTCCATCACCACTCTTCCCCTAAAAAGGACACCAGCCAAGACAGTTTTAAAGGTAAGTTCTACTAGGTCTCCAAAATACAGATAAAACAAGAAACCAACCAAAGGTTGCCAAAAAAAGGGTAAGAGGGAAGCAACCTCTTACTTTATGAGGACAGTACACAACCCAGATAACAAAATCTGATGAAGACAATTTGATAAAAGAAAATTAAAGGTAACATATGCAAAAATCCTTAAATCACAGACACACACACAAAATGAATGCAGAATCATCATGACCAAGTAGAGTTTACATTAGAAATTCAGATGGCTTAACAGTAGAAAACATTAATGTAAATTACATTAATGGGTTAGAAAAACATATGATCCTCTCAATTGAAGAAGATACTTGCTAAATTCATGATTAAGTTTTAGAAATTAGGAAAAGAATGTCCTTAATCTGAGAAAGAATATGATATTTTAAAAAATCCTAGATCACAACAATCCTAGAAACCTAAACATAAAAAGATGCTCAGCTTCATCTTTTGTAAACATTAGCATTGTTTTCGTGTTGTAAACTGTAACACGGTTTTCATGTTTCCTTATTCATCACCCTCTTCCTATGAGAGGATACTTATTCACCATATTGTCATTGGCCTTGACCACGTGACTGGCTTGGCCAACGAAACGTAAGTTAACATGATATACACCACTTCCAAGCAGAAGATTCAAGAACCATAGTGTGGCTTCTGCCATGTTTTCTTTTCCCTTTATCGTGAGACCAGCATGTTTCAGGTACAGGCTACTCTTTTGGTCTCGGTCAAAAATAAAGATGACATGGAATACAGCCAACTCACCAAGTACATATAACACAAACAAGACACAAACCACTGCTCTTTTAAGTCAAGAAGATTTGGAGGTTGTTACTGTAGCATAACCTAGTGAAAGTTGACAGTGATCAAGTAAATGCAAATTAAAATACTGATGTGATTTCACACACATATGATTGGTCAAAATTAATAAATCTGATAATAAGAAGTGCTAATGACAATGTGGGAAAATCAAACTTAATGGTTGCTGGTTGCAATGCAAATTGGCACATTCACTTTGGCATTATCTGTGAAACCTGAAGAAGTATTACTGTTTCCCATCGACAATTTTACTACTTGGTGCCTACCCTGAAGAAACTCTTGCACAAGTAAACAAGGAAACATCCTAGAATGTGCATTGAAGGACTGTTAGTGTAGGGACCGTCCCTGGGCAAAAACTGGCTTAAGCCCAGAGTCAGCAAAACTGGGTGTGCTCTCCTTGGCCCCAGAGGTCAATAGGCCTGGGCCTGGCCTGTTGACCAAACAGAACTATTCCTCATGACAGATAGCTTTATGACAGATAACCAAGCGCCTGGGGTCTTGCAAACAAGCCAAGGCATCTCATTGTCCTGCATACCGTAATGAGATAAAGAAGTTAAGATGCAAGAAGTTAAGATGCAAACATCTGCTTCCCTTAAGCAATTGTCAGGAAGGAATGAAAATGTATTTTCCTCAGGGCACCCACGGTAGTCACGTGCCAGGAAGTAGCTGCCAGACAGAGAAAAGTATAAGAATAAAGCAACTGGTAGAATTGACTACTGCAGTCTTGTATGTCTTGTGTGTGTCTGTGTGTTTCTTTCAGTGTCCATCCCCCGTTCTGCAATCCGGGCCGCGACAGTATCTAAAGGAAGTGAGCCTCAGTAGGGGAATAGATAAACTGGTTGAGTCATTCAAAGAAATACTATATAGCAGTTAAAATGAATAAAGAAGATTTACACATCATAAAACAATATACAAAGCAAGAAGGAAAAGATGGGAATGAAATTTAGCGATGTCGTTAATGTTTTATTTCGTTAAAGATCTAAAACACACAGCAAAATAGTAATATGTGATTAAATTTTTATGGTGGATACACAACTGTCTCTTCTATTATTTCTTTATTTTTGCAGTTTTTCAATATTTTATGACTTTTAAAAAAAGATAGAAGAACAAAAACAGATTTAAGCCATAAAGCCATCAATCAATTTTGTGGTTTAGTGATAAAAAGAACTTTAGAAATTAATAGGCATTTTAGATCATCTAAATAATCCTATATTCTATAGATAAAGAAAAGGCTGACAGAGGTTGAATAAATGACTCAAGATCACTTAAGATCAAGTTGGTGCTCAAAAATATAGATTCCCAGCCAGGAGCCGTGGCTCATGCCTATAATCCTAGCACTTTGGGAAGTCAAGGCAGGAGGATCGCTTGAGGTCGTAAGTCCAAGACCAGCTTGAGCAAGAGAGAGACCCCGTCTCTACTAAAAATAGAAAAAATTAGCCAGATGTGGTGGCACCTGTGCCTGTAGTCCCAGCTACTCAAGAAGCTGAGGCAGGACAATCGCCTGAGCCCAGGAGTTGGATGTTGAGGAGAACTAGGATGACGCCACCACACTCTAGCCAGGGCAACAGGGTGAGACTCTGCCTCAAAAAATAAAAAATAAATTAAAAAAAAAATGTAGATTCCCTAACTTCTAGGGTAGGTAGAAAAGACAATGGAGATATGGTCAAATATTATACAATGTCATTGACCCAAGTTAAAAAAAAAAACATTCTCTTCTTTTCCTTACTGTCCCCCACTCCTACCTCTGAGACACAAAGTTAGTCTCCCTCTATCTCTCTCTCTCTCTCTCTCTCTCTCTCTCTCTCTGTCTGGGACAGAAAGGGAGTCTTAGGAAATGACAAGAGGGAAGTGTTAAAAAGGGGCAAAAGAAAAGAAAGTTCTAAGGATCGCTATAGTCCAAATGTGTCCCTCCAAAATTCATGTTGAACCTAATCCCTACTATGGTGGTATTAAGAGGTGGTGGCCTATACGAGGTGATTAAATCATGAAGGTGGAGCCCTCATGAATGAGATTAGGGCCCTTACAAGAGAGATTGAAGGGAGCTGCCTCACCCCTTCCATAAAGGGTGGACACAGCACTTGTCCCTATGTGAAAATGCAGTAAGAAGCAGAGAGCAGCCCCTTGCCAGATACAAAATATGCTGGCACCTTGATCTGGGACTTTCCAGTCTCCAGAACCAAGAGCAATAATTTCTGTTGTTTATAAATTACTCAGGCTAAGGTATTTTGTTACGGCAGCAAGAAATAAGACAAGGATGTTTAATCCTCTTTTGCTACTCCTTTTCTTTAAACAATTAAAATATCAAAGCAATTAACTAAAATGAGTAAAATAAAGTTCTAAATAACTAATACAAAGATGAGGACAAGGACCATAAATTATTCATCTTAGTACCCTCGGCATCTTGCAATATGATACACATTCAAATATATAATAAACTAGTGTTCAACTAGATAGACATAAGATGTCATTACCAAGCTGAATGCTTTCATTGTTGTTAAAGTATAACTTCTATTTTTAACAAGAATGTGAGGAATTAGGAAAAATGTTTTTAATATTTAATAGATTAGAATACCAAAGAAAAGACTAGACTAGACTTGATAGGTCCCATGTATGGCAGATAAAATAGTATACAGTTCTGTGGTCAGGTCCGTGAGCTCTAAAATCAAATTACCAGGACTGGAATATTGGCTCAACCACTAATCAGCTTTGAAACTTACAGCAAGTTGTTTAATCTTTCCACCCCATATTCCCCATTATAACACTGTGAATGCCAATGATACCTACCTTATACAGATTCTCATAAGTATTAAATGAGACAATCCATCAAAGCACTTGACACAGTTCTTCAGCGAACATTAGCTATTGTATTGTATATGTCATAAAGTAATTTAGTTGTAAAAAGCAACGAACTCTTCTGACTGACATAAAATTATAAGGTGCTAAATGCATTGGCTTCTGTCAGCATCAATACTAATGCATTATATGTTTTGCAAAGCATGGGTGTTTTTTAATTAAATGAAACTAAATAAATGAGCTAGATTTTAAGCCATTATCTGTCTCAAGATAAAAGATTTGGGGTTACATTTCATTATTCTAAAATGTCAACCTAGTGCTATCATGTCTCCTCAGGAAAAACATCTTATAGCCAGAGGTAATATTCAAAATATTTAATGCCCATCCAGAACAAACACCAGCCAACACACATGACCAGTATAGACTGGCAGAGAACATGGTCCCTGCTTATCCTAAGGGTCAGGAAATACTGTTTGTAATGGAAATGATGACTTATTTCTATGTTTTTTTTTAAAATACAAAACCGTAAAAAACTAGCTTATGAACTTGGTAAAACACATTCCTTGTGCCATGCCACAACCACACATCAGTATAGCTCTCCACTCAGCTCTCTGTCTCACCTCCAGGTCACAGCTGTATTCAGTGCCATCTAAAAGGATCACTTTACACTGGACAGTTTTGGTCTTCTTGGTGGCTTTTTGAGAGGCCTTCTCTGCTTTTAGCTCATTGGTCTGCACTTCCTTGGTGACTCTTTTTGCTGCTGTTGCTCCTTCTAATTTGTCTTCTGGTAGTTCCTTTATCTTCTCCTCTTCTCTCTCCTTACTTACTAATTCAGCAGGCTGTTGAGGAAAACAATTAAGTTCATACTCGAGTTAACCAATTTGCAGAAGACAACATAATAAAAGAAAAATTTTTAATAAGAATCATGATTATTGTAACCACTGTAAGCCTACGATTCTAAAAGACTTGAGAATTCTGCTAGAAGGGAAAGTTCCCCTCATCCTCCTTCTATCGCCAATTCTCTCATTTTGTGAAGTTGGTCATTTCAGCATTAAATGAGTAAAAGAAATGACATCCCAGCAACTACAACTTAAATATCATTTCAAACAATATAATTTCTGATCAAAATCTCATACCATGGCAAAACCTAGGCTTCATTAGGCAACCATAATGCACAAATCTACTACTGACTACCCACTGAATACCTAAATAAATCAAATCAAAAAGGTATAAAAGGGCATTATGTTTAAAAGGAGAGGTTACAGGAGTCTGAGAGAATTTACATAACCTTAAAAGGAATAGACATGAATTTTTTAGTAATTTGCATATATAGTGGTTTTTTTTAAAGGATTAACAGAAGAAGCCTAGGGTAGACCAATCCAAGACCCATATTCCAGAAACATTAAGCCAAAGTAGTTATCTCCATATAAGAAATCTGGAAATGATCCGAAACAAACCAACCCTTTTTGTTATGTGGTTATGTTATCTAGTGTTCATTTTCAGACAAGCACTCCCAAACATACCTGTGTCTCAGCTCTGCTCACGGAAGGTTTTTCTTCCTTGCCTTCAACCTTAATCTCCAGTTGCTTCCTCTGAGCCACTTCTTCAGCATCACCCTTGGCCTGTCTCTCTTCTTCCGGAAGGGGTTCCTCTTTATCTAAGACCTGTTCTTCCACAACAGCTTGGGTAGACTCTTTTTTATCTCCTCCATCTTTGGCCACGACTAAGGTATATGACCTTTGTTTCTTAAGCCATGGGGGTATGAATCGGGAAATACCCCTTCTCTCAGATGGCTCCTTCTGTCTCTTCTGGAAGTGTACACTACTTTGGCTTTCAGCTGCAGGAGATGGCTGGGAACCTTCTTCTTCCTCTGGATCAGACTTATTCTGCTGGTTTTCTGCTACTTCTTTAGGTTTCTCCTTGGTTGCATCTGCTCCTAACTGATCGGAGTCCTTCTTCACTTCAGAGGCAGAGCCTACTTCAGTAGTCATGGTTACAGCTTATGCTGTAAATGAAACAAAATCATAAAATGTTATTTTCCAAACTCTCCTGATTTTCATTTGGTGGCAAGGGGCAGGGTAAGGAAGGGTGGGAAGGAGAATAACAGAGAGATAACAGGGAGAAAGCACACAACAAGGTTCAAAATCACCAGAGAAAATGAAGACTGTTACTCTAATTTTCAGAATTCTGTTAGAGTCACGGAACCAAAACTAGTGTCACAATAGCATTCTAAATATGAACAGCTGGACCTTAAAGTCATGAAGACCTCAAGAGTGATTACTTTTGATTGGTTTTAACTAGTTATAAATATTATAATTGACTAAAACAATCCAATTTTTTAAAGGAAATTTACTTTTCTCTGTACTTAGTATCCTTCATTCTATAATATGAAAAGGTTATCAACAATGTTAAAAAGTATCAAGGCACATTTCACAGAAATTTCACACGTTAAAACCAAAATCTACCAAATGTTAGGTGTTATAAAAACAAATTTTAAAAGTCAGGTGCCTAATAGCAAGAAAATTAAATCTGGAACAAAGATGTATTATTTTGTTTTCCAATATTAAGTCCCATAATTCACTATCACTATTCCAATGCAAAAGTTAATTTTCTGGGAAAGGTACTCAAACTATAATCGAACCTCCAAAACCTCCATCCCATCCATCTCAGTTACACTTTTCTTTGTATACATGATTATAAGAAAAATATCAAAGGACCCTAATCCAAATCAAATGAAGAAATTATAGAGTGGAAAAAAATACATCCAATGATTGATCTTATCAGAACTAATGGAAACAAAATTTAAATTAAATCTGAAAATAACTGGTTGCCTAAATTTTACACAAGCAAAGAGGGACTTTTAAAGTCTGGAAGTACCACTGACATAAAGAATAGGCAGGGCCTGCACAGATAGCAGATCACACTCACTCTCTTTTCTCTTGCCAGTGATAAAATTGCTCAAAGTCCTTGCACCGTGGCCAACAGGTAACATCCCAGCTATCTTTAAAAGGGGTACAAACTTAGGGCTGGTGTGACAGTATTCACCTGTAGTCCCAGCTACTTGGGAAGCTGAGGCGAAAGGATCACTTGCGCACAAGAGTTGGAGGCTGTAGTGTGCTATGATCACACCTGTATTCACACTGTACTTCAGCCCAGGCAACATGGCAAACCCCCCCCCCTTTTAAAATACAAACTTGACTAGGTCAAAATAAGAGAGTAAAGTACACATGTTTTAAAGCTTTGACACATAATTCAAATACCATAAAATTCACTCTTTCAAAGTGTACGGTTAGTGGTTTTGGGTATTCCAAAGGTTATGCAACCATCACCACTAATTTTAGACTATTTTCATCATTCCAAAAAGAAACGCTGTACCCATCAGTAGTCACTCTTCATTCCTCCCTCCCCCCATCTTCTGGCAACCAATAATCTACTTTCAGTCTGTATGGATTTGCCTATTCTGGACATTTCAAGTAAATGGAATCATATAACACATATGACATTTTCACTTAGCATAATGTTTTCAAGGTTCATCCATGTTGTAGCATGTTTCAGTACTATACTTATTTTTTTAAATATTATTCATATCTTCTGCAAATCATGTATCTGATACAAGTATCTCGATACTAATCCGGAATATATAAAGAACTCTTATAACTCAATAATAAAAAGACATAAAACCCAATTTAAAACTGGGCAAAGGATGTGAGTAGACATTTCTCCAAAGAAGATGTACAAATGGCCAATAAGCACATGGAAAGATGCTCGGCATCATTAGTCATTAGGGAAATGTACATCAAAACCACTATGAGATACCACTTCACACCCACTACGATGGCTAGAATCAAAAAGACAGATAGTGGCCAGGTGTGGTGGCTCATGTCTGTAATGCTAGCACTTTGGAAGATCGAAGCAGGAGGATCACTTGAAGCTATGAGTTCAAGACCAGCCTGAGCAACATAGCAAGACCTCGTCTCTCAAAAAAAAAAAAAAAAGTTTTTTTTAAATTAAAAAAATATAGTAACAAGAATTGGTGAGAATGTGGGAAATCTGGAACTCTCAACATTGCTAGTAAGAATATAAAATGGTGCCGCCACTTTGGAAAACAGTTTGGCAATTCCTCAAAAAGTTAAACATGGAGTCATCATACGACCTAGCAAACCTAATGCTATGTATATCCCCAAGATAAATGAAAACATCTGTTCACACAAAAATTTGTACATGAATGTTCATAACAGCATTATTCATGATAGCCAAAACAAATGGAAACAACCCAAATGTCTATCAACTGATGAATGGATAATATGTCATGTTCATACAATAGAACATTATTCAGTCAGCAAAAGGAATGAAGTGCTGATACATGCTATCACATGGCCAAATCTTGAAAATATTATGCTAAGTGAAAAAAGCCAGACACATGTTGTATGATTCCATTTATTTAAATGTCCAGAACAGGCAAATCCAAACAGACTGGAAGTAGATTATTGGCTGCCAGGGGATGAGGGGACAGGAGGATGGAGAGTACCTACTTACGGGTACAGGTTTCTTTTTCGAGTGATAAAAATGATCCATAATTAGAGTATGGTGAAGCTTGTACAACCTTGTGGATATATTCAAAACCACTAGATTGTATCCTTGAAAAGGGTGAATTTTATGATATGTGAATTACATCTCAGTAATAAAAAATAATCTTAAACATGTTATTCACATTCAATATGCAAGCACAAAGACAACCAATTAGCCTATATTTAATGGCTCCTAGAATGTGCCAAGAAGTAGGCATGGGAATAAAGCTGCCTTCAAGAAGCTGAGGGAATGAAGGGGATAGATAAGCACAGATAAGTCAAGAGCCTGTTGCTTAGAAAGCACAGGACTGATACTTAACCCAGATTAGGAGAGGAGGATCATCCGGCAAGCCTTTCTACAGAAGTTGACATTTGAGGTGCTTTTAAAATAATGAGTACTCATTATTCAGACAAAGTAGTCAGGATGGCAGGTACGTACCAGGTACAAGGAGGTGTGGAAACATGAGAGCATTCCTCACAGAGGAAACCACAGGTACAGAACAATGACCCACTGTAGAAGTGAAGTGGGGACTTGTGTGTGGAAATAGAAGGGGAGATGGAAGGCAAGTTGGTAATATTAATAATTAATACTAAGAGAAGGAGGCAAAAGCCAGAACATAAAAGATTTTGTGTGTGTTTTCTCTGGTTTATTGTAGAGACAGGGTCTCACTCTGTTGCCCAGGCTGGCCTTGAACTCCTGGGCTCAAGCAATCCTCCTGCCTTAGCTTCCCGAGTAGCTGGGACTACAGGCACGCATCACCATGCTCACCCCCATTGCCCCCTACCCCAGTTGTGTGTGTTATGTTAAAGGCAATGAGGAGGTTATTTTAAAGGCAAAGAGAAGCCATACTAACTACTTTAAGTAGAGGAGCAATGTAATCAGATTCCCATTTCAGATAGCCCAACCTAACTGTAAAGTACAGGGTGAGAGAAAAGACTGAAACAGAAAGACATCCAGAAGATTGTTACAGTAATCCAGACATGAGAACATGATGGTCTGTACAATGGCAGAAGCAACTGGGTAAAGGACAAGAAATGAATCTGATGGTAAACAGGTAGAGTGGACACGACTTGGTATTCAAACTAAATATAGAAAGTCAATGAGAAGAAAGAATCGAGGACAAGTTCCAGACTGGAGTGATGGTAGAATCATCCATGGGAATGGGGCACACCAGTAGAAGTGGGACTAGTTGACATTTAACTTAATTTTTGAATTCACTGTGATTGAGAAGTTTGTGGAAATGTCCATTTGGCCACGAGACACACGAGTTTTGAATGGAGGCTAGATAGGCACTAGAGATACGGCTTGGGAGTTGTCATCATATGGGTGATAGCTGAAAGCACAGGTGATACTGGCATCTCCTAGAGAAAAAGTGTAGCTTAAGCTTAGAGGACCCTGAAAAGAACCCTTATTACCATATGTAAGGATCAGGCAGAGGAAAAGGTATGAGGGCCAGAAGAAATATATAGTGAGACAGGAAGATTTGGGGACAGTAATGTCCTTGACAGCAACGTTACACAAGAGGGAATCATTAACTATCATATCTACATGTCCAATGTTACTTCTTATTCTTGGGCACCTGAAATTCAAAATCACGTCTTCCAATAAGAACCTGAGGACACCTAAACTGGTTCCATGTTGCACAGAAAATCTTTTTTCCTTTAATGTACCATTAACCATGTACCATTTTAGTGGAGGATATTATTTACATTAATCATGAAATGAACAAAGTTGATTTCTAGCATATGCTATCTAATTACATTTTGAGAACTGAATAAATGTCCTGGTAAAATTAAAACACAAATGTCCCATGCTTGTCTAAGCTAACCAAGGTAAACAGGCAGGTCTCCAATTACTTTGGCTGTGAGAAACAGTCTGGGGACCAATCACTGAAGATGACTTTTGGCCAAAATAGTTCAGAAGTGATGAAATACAAAACTCAAGTTTCCACTATTATGTTTAAAGCATTAATAGTTGTTTATATTTTAATAAGAGCTACCACTCAATGTTTACTGTGTCAGACACTGTGCCCATAATTTCCGCTTCTCAAAACATCTCACAAAGGCAGGTATTATCCTCATTGTGCAAATAATATATGGAAGATAAGTTAAGTAACTTGTCCAAGGCCAGTAGATAGAGGACCACAAAGTTGTATACCTCTCCTCACACATACTTCATAATAGAATGACAGCTCCATTGTGCATGAATGACCTACTAACCACAAAGGCCTTGGCCCAGTCCTCAAAGAAGATTCATGCCAGTTTGTGAAAATGACTATAGAGCAACATGAATGTATTCTGAGATTTGCTATAATTAACCCTGCCACCTCCTCAAAGTAAGAAATTTACAGATCAATTCCCATCACAAAGCAAATCATATTTGAACATTATTACTTGCCCATATAATTACAACAGAATTGGTAACAGAAACTGAAGA